TGGCCGGGTAAAGCGGTGTCGCGGGTTCTGGCTGATGCATTGTCGTAGTCGTGATCGTGAGCTCGTTTCTTCGTTGATGTTCCTGTTCTCGTAGCGTCTGTCTTAGACACTTATGGCTGCGCACAGATACACGGTCTGTGCAAGGTCGTGGGAGGCGACTTTATCGTCTCACACGGTTGTTGGAGGCCTGTGAGTAGGTCGCACACCAGGTCTCGAACTCGCAAGGGGAGGCCGCCGAGAAAAGGGTGCTTGGTGGTGAGCGAATCCGGCCGCGGCGAGGAGGCAGAGGCTGCAGCCCCAAGCTTTTGATTTGGTGATATGGTCTTCAGCCGCACCGCCACAACGCTCTTCTCCGCTTAAGAATACCCGGCGAGCTCAGCCAGGAGGGTTCGAGTATGTGTATGCTGTCGTGATGGGCAGGGTTGTCTTCGCTTAAGGCCTGGGTTTCGAACAGCCCGCGACGCGTACTTTGCGACAGCGTCCAGAGTTATACGATTGCGCGGCGCAAACTTCCGCGCAGACGACTGTCACGCGCGCTTGATGAGTTTGGCGGTCTGTTGATGGACGCGCGATGTTTGGTTGTCGCGCTTTGCGCATTCCGAACTGAAGAAGCTGCGCGCCCTTGTTAGCCTAGTCGGTGTGGCTAGTGCCCGCTGCTAGGTCTACTGCAATCACCATGCAGTCCACTCACCGCCGTCTCCAGCTATCTGCTTGATGCGGCGTACAGCGTACGGCGACACTCCGGTGCCGCCGCTGCTGAAGAAGCGGCAAAGATGTATATATAGCGTTGCATTTTCCAAGAGAGTCGCCGGTGAGGCCGCACACCCCCAAATTTTCCTAGAGCCGTCATCAAGCGGCGAGACCCCGCTCTAGGCAGAAGCAAGCACCCAACACAACAGCCATGGCGGCAGAGCGACCGTCGGCGCTCGAGGCGGCAAAAGAGATTCGGGAAAATGGTTCACGGCCCATAGCGGGGTTGGACATGATGGACGATGCGGCTCCTTGCAGGTGTCACATCTGCAAGATGCGAGTTCCTTCTGCGCCGGATTGGGTAAGCGAGGCTGCACTTCCTCAGGTACCGTGCATGCTTTCTGTAGATCCGCAATGCACGACACGTTGACTTGAATACCATCAACGGCATCCACCCCTAGCGTTTGATCTAGCTTTCTTATCAGACAAGCACACCGCCCAGTCCTCTAGCAGCTTTGCTAGTCATCACGAGAGCCTCACTAGTGACTAGCAGGAGCCTCACGCCGTTGGTCTGGGAGAATGCTGTACCGAGCTTTCGTCGCCACGTCATGACTACGACACCGCGTTTGATATCAAGACTGACTATTCTCCACGCTCAGAAGCGTCGCTGATGCTGTTACTGTTAGGTTCCACCGAGCACATCTGTATCCTCGGTTGCGAAGTCTGGTCCAGATGTCAAGCACGACTTTGTCAGTACCAGGGTAGCATCGCAAAGCCATCGATTATGCAATGTGGCACGACATCCAACAGATCTAGATCCACTGCGAGATCGGCCCGCAGGATCCGCACGTTCGCATGGCAAAGATGGGGCCATCCAACGACCACGGCCATCCAACAGCGACCCGGCCCAGGGTCTTTTGGCGACCGTACCACACCCCACCCAACACATATACAAAGACTCCAAAGAAGCTCCAGTATCTCATCGCAGCGACGCTTACTATTCGAAATCTTTCCCCATATGCCTATTGGTTAGGTTGCGGAAGCTATGAATGGCTCATCACTTTGAGACATCCAAGTGCACCACGAACCACTGCAAAGTCACAAAACTTCACCCACAGATCAAAGACGCAAAATCCAGAGCTCACTACGTACAACCAACAATGTCTTCCCCGCTTACGCCTTGCAACGACCACGATTACCCCATCCAGTAACCCGAGCCCCAACTCCCATCCCCACCGTTTGTCACCATCTCCCCACTGCACCTGCCACCGTACCACCAACGCACGCAGCTCCCTTCGATCCCTGGACGTGAATGCTACGCAACACTCCATGACTCCAATACCACTTGTGACAGATGTGACATGTCACACGTTCTATAAAGAACTATTTCCTCTTCACATAATCAACAATGACTGGTCCTTCGTTCGCCTCCCGCTTCTTGTTCGTTTTGCAGCCCGCTTCCGTCGTGTATGTGAGTCAGGTAGCTATCTCTTATTCTTCTCTTCACATAGCGCGTCGGAAGGATTGTATATAGCTTGGTGGTGGTTGCGGTGGTTGTCTTCTTTCTGCTCTTTGCACCTGTACTTGTACATACATTCCACTCTCCACCCGTCTCTATCCGTCTATCCCAAAGCCAAAACTAAGGTCACGCCCAAGGCCCCCAAGCAGTCCCAGTCCCAGTCAGTGAATACTCCCTCGAACGAGCAACATTTACCCCTCGATCCCTCGGATCTCGCCACCCATAACCCTCAGTCACCCCCGTTTGAACCCGCTCGCCCCGGATCCGACATTCCATTCCGGTTCGATTTCTACAACTCTGGCGCCTGGATCTCGCGTCATTGTGCCCCGCGTTAGTCCGAGCGTAAAGCACCAACTTCTATCAGATTGATCAGAAGTGGCGCCTTTTTCACATTTACTTTCTACCGTCCACACCTGTTGCGATCAATACCGTTCTGAATCAATTTCTCTATTTTGGATTTGAATCAGAACACAACAGTCCAAGCGGCAAGTCACCGAGAAAGTCTCAGGCGACTACTGAGACCCTTTTTCAGTCTCAGATCTTTCAGAGTATATATCCCCCACCGTCGACTTTTCTTCCGGCGTCCACACCAGCAGTTCAAGGTACTGCGATACAATCCTCAGTACACTCATCCTCCGCAAGGACAAGGCGACTAAACAACATGAGCGACACAGCAGCCGACCCACCCCCACCCCCACCAGAGCAAGCAGAGCAAGGCTCACCACGTGGCGCCATGGATCCTCCAGCGACACCAGGTCCAGATCCAGGCCACCGCGCTAAGGTACCAACTGCAACAACACCCGCACCGGCGCCTTCACCCGCACCGTCCACCCCAGGCCGACGTAACCGCCCCCTCCTCCCCAACACCCCACGTTCATCCAGCAGCCCGTTCCCCACTCGAGCGCCCCGCACGCCAGGAGCATCATCGGCAATCCAGCCCTGCACTGTCGACGAGACGCTGTTTAGCCGGGTGACTGTCCACACGGCCAAGTGCACCGAGTGCGATCAGCGGAATATGGATACTATGCGCCGCTGTCCTGGCTGCACATTCCAGGTCTGCCAGCCGTGCTACGAGAAGCGGGTTAAGAACAACAAAGGTCTTCTTCATGGTAATATGGCGACGCCAGGTGCGGCTGGGGTTGGCGCCGGTACTACTCCTGCGGGTAGGACGGTGAGGCGTAGGCCGGTAGCCAGCAGCACGCCCGTACGTGAGAGCGAAGAGAAGAAGGAGAATGAGGTCAAGGAAGAGGAGAAAGAGGTTGAGTCCGCACCGAAGGAGACTACTGCGTCTGCACAGAAGTCGTCAGCGAAGAAGCGCTCGATCAGGAAGAAGCCGGTTGTTCTTGACAGTGAGGTCGATGAGCTATCTTCCGAAGACGACTTCGAGCCAGACGATCACTCACCCACACCAAGCAAGAAGCGCAAAACTGAACTCACCTTCGCCGAGAGCGCCCTCGCTACCGCTACTCGGACACCACCTGCCACACGCGCGACTCGACGATCAACCACCGCTCCTACCTACCAAGATCCGCCATCCCCGCACTCTGACCCCGTCGACGGCAGTGTGCGCAGCGGCGGTAGGTCGAATGGCTACCTAGGCGGCGAGTACAAGGGCGACGAGGCCCTCTACGACGCTGCCATCGGACCATACGAAGAGCCGTTGTTGAGTCGCCAAAACCCTGTCCTGTCGAACCCTGCCTCGAAGATCCCCGATATCATCAAGCGAGGTGGTGTACCGAGGCCACAGGGTGAGACGTACAAGTACATCCAGAAGCATCTCCGTGAGAAGATGGGATTAGAGCAGGCAAGCGAGACAACTGGAGAAGAGACCGTGGCCTCCTTGGCTGAGCAGAGCGTAAGTAACGAGTATAGAGCTGTGATCGACGACGAGAAAGCTGACACAACGAAGAACGAGGCTGACCAGGCTGCTAATGAATGCACCGTTGGCGCTTTCGTAGAGCAGATGGCAACCAAGTACCTCAACGCCGAGACCATGGACGGAGACGATAACAAAGCCCTCTTCAACGCCATGGAGAGCGCCGCGTTGGTCTGGGGCAAGAAGACGTTCAAGAAGCTCGACCCGGAGAAGCAGCGCATGGTGCAGCCGGGCTTGAAGTTGCGTCTTGACTTCATCGACGAGAAGTTTCGGGAGGAGTTGGCCAAGTTGATGGATGAGCGCGCTGGCAGTATGCTGGCGGAGTTGGGTGTGAGTGACGAGAAGCCTGCGACTGGACCGCCGGACTTGTTGTTCAAGGCTGTCTAGGGTAGGTGATGGCGGTGATGGTGTTGCATTGGCTTGAGCGATGATTGCTTTTGCATGTCTTGCATTGATAGACCTTCAGCGATAGACAGAGTTGTCGGGACTTTCACCAGTCCAATCACATGGGGAGCGAGTCGGCATTGGTTGGCTTTGTCTGACCAGCTTGGCATTCGCCTAGGATAGCGAAGTACTATCGTAGGAGCTTGTATGTAGAAACCAATTGCATCAAATGAGTAATGAAGAAGAACGGGCTTCGTATAATGGCATTGCCAAGCCATCTCTTGAAAGACATGAACGAAAGGAGACGAGAAGACGTTCGATGCAGACATGATTATGCTACTTGAGAAAACGTACTCAAACGACCTCATCCCGAGGCAGAACAATAACAAAAGGAAAAGATTATGGGTATCCGTAATGGCGCTAATGCAATGCAGAATGCGACAAACAATGAAAAGATACGTATAGCCTCAACTGTACAATCCGTACAGGGTCGGAAGATATCGCTGTCCTCAAAACCCTCGGTGTAAGTGTCTACCGCTGACCGAACTGAATCGTCAGCTTTCCCTTTGCTGGCTTGATCTGCTCCAGCTCATCCTCGCCCTGGTTGCCCATGGCGTTCTCGAGCCATGTCGTCTCATCGTCGTCGTCGTTGCCGGCGGAGGATGGGCGCTGGCTTCGTATCGACTTGAAGCGCTCGTTGAAGAGATGTGCGTATTCGTCGTTCTTGGAGGGCTGTTCGGTGACTTCGGGGAGGGCGCTCGGTTGGGAGACGGGGATTAGTTGCCTGGATGGGATCAGCGTCATGTCCTACTAAAGATGGAGAAGGTTCAGAGGACTCTGTGGCCCTTAAATCGGAAGAAGCGGGCTCCTGTGCAGGAAAGTACGGGCGCCTTCGTGGGAAGGTGCAGACCCCTGTACAGGAAGGAACGCTCGAAGATGGGGAAGGCGGCACTCACTCATTCGTTTCCGCGCAAATACGCTCCAGGTTCTCTCGTTGACGTCGAAGCTCCTCTGGGTCTGGCTGGGGCGCGTTGTGTGTGCTGCTGGCTGTTCCATAGTTGGGCTGGTACTGGTCTCCGAGTAGGTGCGAGGCATCCGAGTTCTATGAGAGAGCGTTAGTACTTGTATAGCTCAATATGCTATCCATGAAGACTGACATCAGACTCAGAAGTCCTTCGCCCTCCCAGGCACGACGAGCAGATACCCATCGAATGCGCGCGACGGTGGCTGGCGGAAGCGGTGGAGCGATGTACGCGCTAGTGTGAACTGAGATCTATAGTCTATACGGAAGCGACGGGAAGGTGACGAGCGACTACACAGGGCATACTGTATAGCCCGTAAAGAAGAAGCTGGCGCAGTTGTCGAAGTTCACGAGCGATGCTTCCTTGAGTTGTGATGATCGGCGCCGGCAATCTCCGGGGGTCTTGGCGGGCAAGGAGCCGCATCGTCGCTTGGGCGGCCTTCCTCCTTTAACCTTCTCTACCTCGCCTCATTCGATGACTTGCAGCTTCTATCCCATGTCCATCAGATTGCTTGCAGCTTGATGCTTATTCTCTTCTCTACGGCAAGCACTCAACTCCTTTTCAGCAAGCTATCGCCTCTCACGCAAAATGCTATCCACCGTCGCTTCATCCTCACGCATGGACACATATACAACATAATGTTATTTTTATTTACACACACATCAACTGTGTTGACTAACCGAGCCGTATTACAAAGCCGACCCTAGGTCTAGAGCGCCGCATCGTCTGTGAAGTGTTGATCTCATCAAACTTCACCGATGAAGACGGCGGCGAACAGCAAAGAAATTTTCCGCCTCCCATGCCTTGCAACAAAAGAAAGCCCGCTTCTTTCTACTCCGAATCGCTTGAGCATCTGTCTACAAAGAGTTTGCCTTCTTTAGATGATTAGCTCGGTCCATTTTGCTCATTGGGCACATTCCTCCCCGCTTTGTTTCTTAAGCACAATGCCACCTCATACAAGGAAAAAACTAAACAGGCCTGCGGACTACATCAAGACAAGAATCTGCAAAGTGGGTGAACCAACGTCAACGTAGGCTCTAGGGTGTTCAGTTTTATCCTGGGTTGGCGTGATGCGCTGCTCACTGTGAACTGGAGACTAGTGCAGACGGATACCCCACGGCTCCTCCCACATCGCCTCGAGGACCCTGCCAAGCGCTCTAATAGTCCCGCCGTCGACGGGTGGTATTCGGCGGCACCAGAGGATCATCACCGTCGCGCGAGCGCTTTAACCTCGGCCCTGTGGGTGGTTGGGGTCTTGGGTCCCTCGGCGCGTTCGTAGTCCTCGTTGGTGGTTGTCGAGGCTGATCTCGTGGTTGTGTTGCCTCCTCGGTAGCTTGTGTGATTGCCGGTGGCGGCGCTGTCGTGTTAACGTCTCTGGCATCCTGGCGCATGGTGGGACGTGGGACGCGGCCATTCGGTGCTGTCGGACCCCTAGGCAGACGGGCATCTGCGTCCTTGTCGTCTTCGGATGGCTTCGGATTGTGTAGAGCATCGAGAGTCGCGAGATGATCTCTCATCCATTTGGGCAAGGAGTCGTCCGCAGTTCGCAGCTCTTTCAACGCACCGTGGTCGAAGTCCATCGTTGGTGGAACCTCATTGGCGGCGCTCGACCCAGGGGCTGCCGTGAGGAAATCACTGAGGCAACACAGCCGGTGGAAATCCCAAAGTTTCAGCCGGCCCCAGTAGTAAGGCTTTCGTGGGAAGGTGACTTTCACCAACTCACCCGCGAAGACATGACTTATGTTCTCGAGAAATCTTGCTCCTGGGGTTCGCCGCACCTTCATTTGTTCATGCGGACTACCGTTTCCTCGAGATCCGGACGAATCGTCATCACTGGCTACTCCCAGGTACTTTGCGTGCTCCGACTTTGGTATCCAATGCGCTCTCTTCAATCCGCGCCCTCCAAAGCAGTGAGCAACCCAGCCAACGCCGTAGTCACGCTCCACTCGTTTGAAGATGAAAGGCACATCATGCTTCACGTTGATCATACCTTGTGAAGACGGTGTGAAACTCTGTCCAATTTTCGCTTGGTCGTCAGATGAGAAGTCACAGAGTCGAACGGAAACAACGTCGGTAGCGAGATACTCCTTCGTCAAATCCGTGTATGAGCCGCGAGACTGTCCGTACTCAGGGGTCCAGACGTGTTCAACTCCTGTACGATGATCGATGACGGTATAGCCCGTACCGCGAGTTTGGGGAAGAGGAGGATGAGCAAGTGGTTGTGGTGTCTGCGGTCTCGGCGCGCGCTCAGTACCGGGAGAGCGAGATCGTCTCGTGCGCGGGTCTCGCCCCTGACCGCGCTCAGTATTGTAAGGTCGAGGGGGCCTTCTTTCGGTTTGGTCTCGTCGCCGACTAGGGGATCTTCGGTCTCGCCGCCGACTGGGGGATCTTCGGTCTTGCTGCCCGCCACGAGGTCGTTCTCTGGAGTAGTCTCGACCCCGACTTCGACTGCGGGGGCGTGGAGGTGGTGACCGGTCTCGAGGTCGAGGTTGAGGTTGAGGTTGATGACGGGGCTCTCCTTCACCATAGTCGAGAGGCAGGTCGTCTTCCCTGTACCGGTCTCCGTGCTCTTCACGCTCGTCGTAACCGCGATCATGGTTTCGTGCCGGTACTCGATCATACTGTGGACCGTCGTCGGCTTCATGCTGCGGAGAGTCCCGGCTGTGAGGCTCTGAAGGCGGCCTTGGGCGCTCACGTTGGCCAGGCATAGTGACAGTTGATACCTTTTTTCTGCCAGTAAGGGGTTGAGATCGTTCTGCGGGTAGAGTGGTATTGCCTGTGATTTCATGGCTGCAGCCACTGAAGTAGGGGCAGGCATTGCGCCCGCGTTGACCTCAGTGAATATCGAAGGCAATTGCGCCTGCTCTTTCGTAGGTCCAGGTACGTGCTCACGGACGCTGTATATCACGAATCCAGTCTAGTTCCTTATTGCTGCTGACAAGAATGGGCCTTGACGAAGACCAACGGATGTGAATGGCCTTACCAGAGTGAAAGAAAATCGAATCAACCAAAGTGACAATGAAAGAAAATTGCTATCTTTGTTGTAGGCCTACTACGTTATCCCAATCCGGATATACGTGGTAGAGTGATAAACTCCTTTGTTCGAACCGAAGGACCTATAGAACCTATATCTTGCGTAAGGATGCCATCATTCATTCTACAGCCGCCCGACATGGACCATCATTACCTGTTTTATCCAGATTACGATCCTAATCCTCACTCCAATGAATTAAAGACGATCAATCGCCAGTGGACGAGGTACGATGGAGACAGACTTAGATGTACCACTGACCCAGCATATTTCCTCGGTATACGGGACGGAGGAGATGCGTTTGATGCGTTAGTGTTATCCGAATCACTGGCGGAGAAAATACAAAATGCCTTATGTATCGCCCACTCGTACTGGACCACACCGGAGAAGTACGCTGAGGAAGTGAAGGTCCGTTTTGAGAATGAAGCAAGGACCGAGGCCTGGGAGGAGGAGCTGGAGCATTTGATCGAGGTTACGAAGAAGAAGGTGAAAAAAACAGGTCGAGCAACTGACGCAGAACGCAATAGGCTACAAGATCTTCTTGAAGAGCGGAAAAAGTGTCGACAGACTATTAAATATCACCAACGTCAGCGCCAAAGGCACGAAGACGGAGTAGAGTCAGGAAAGGCGAGATGGATAAACGCTTGGTTTGAAGTACAGCAAGAACTCGATCGCCTGTGGACGCACGCTGGCCAGATCCGGAGATATCGACCTGAGCAACTATCTGGGCGGCGTACTGCGGGGCAGGGACGCCGAGAGCCGCGCGCTCACTCAAGATCCAGAGACAGAAGATATCGGAGCTCACGCCGCGGAATTGGGCGGGAGGATAGATCACGAAGTCCCAATCATGCCCAACGTTCTCGTACTGAGTTTCGGTCCAGGTCTCGTTCTCGACCGCGAAGACAAGACAACAGATCCAGGCATCGTAGAAGAGAGCCTCATGCCCATGACCACGGAAGGCAGGAACGCTCGAATGGGCGAAGTCGTGGACAACCTCGCTATCGATCTCAGTCCCGCTCACGGTCGCAAAGGCATGGCCGTAGACAACACCATGACCGAGCTGAATCCGAGCATTCGCATGATGGTCTTGCGAGTCCACGTTCTCCGGCTTCATCTCATTCTCGTGCTCAGAGTGATGCGGAGTTGTGGCGTGTGGCGGGGTCCAATTGCGATACATGCGAGATCACCCCAGCCTGTCTGGAGATCACAGCGAAACCGTCTCTTGACTGGAATATACCAGATGACTATCGAGACGAAGATTGCCAGATCTCTGTGCGCGACGTTGTGCCAGCAGCAATCATGGCAGATGACGGGGAGCATTCATTCAGCGATATAAGCATCGACGATAGCGTCGAAGCATTGGCAGGCCAAGCTATTTGCCCCTCGGTACCAATGTCGCAACAGGCTCAGGACTTCAAAGACGGCCTGAGACAATTAACGTTGGAGTACAACAAGAGAGAGATGCCATCTCCAAAGCCGACCGAACCGTCTGAAGCTTTGCCTCATCGCCCCAGTGGCAATAAGCGGAAGCGGGAGGATCAGGAACTGAGTGAAAGGAAAGCTCGAAAAGTAGGCGAGTCTTTGACAGGTGAGAGTGAATACTCGGTGCGTGAAGTTCCGACCGTCGGATGGGCTCAGGAAGAGCCATGTGTGCAGGTAGCTGCGGGAAGGACTCCAGAGTCCATGAGAATGTCGATACGCGACTTTTTCAAGCCATATCAAGGCCGTGGTGAGAGTTTGTGTTGAATTTAGTTAGATTGTTGGATGCGAATTGTAGTCTGAACCCCAGACGAGTCTTTCCTGTTTTTTATGTGTGTTGGAGGCGCGGCGCACCAGGAGCGATCACGGGTAGGAGGTGCGATCGTGAGCTTATTCCAGACGATCAGTATGACTCGAAACTTTTTCGCGCGAATCGGTTGCCGCGATTGCTTTCTAAATCGGGTGCATGTTGCTGGAGTTATGGCGCGTAGGAGTTGGGATGATTAGGATGTTTGGGTGGCTCGAAACGCGCGCCGGCTCAACTTGCGGCCCGGCACCGTAATTTCTTGGCGTCCACGGGTCCCTTCTCAAGGGTCTGATCTCCACCCCACCATAGAGTACCTAGGTAGCTAGACATCTTCCACACCTCAATGCAAGCGTGTGAGCGACAACATGAATGCCGCTAGGACAAGCGTTCGAGTTCACACAATATCAGCTCAGAAATGGCTGGTAGACAAATCGCCCTGGGCAGCACTCGCGCCTAGACGTTCACTTTCATCTACGCTTGCGCGTCCTTCTCAGCCTGGTCCATCAATGGACTGGTCCACACATGGTTGCGATATTGATGCCGAGCCTTTGCATCGTTACAAAAAGGGTGGCTATCACCCCATTCACCTTGGCGATCGTTTGAGCAATGGCAGATACAAAGTCCTGCATAAATTAGGCTGGGGTGGATACTCGACTGTCTGGGCCGCGCGCGATATCAGGTCCCGATTTCTACGAAACATCGACGACTTGAGCTGAGATGCTACTAGGGACCAAACCTATGTCGCTTTAAAGATATCGGTATCCGAGACAATCCATCAAAATCGAGAGACTGCAGTCTTGCGTACAATAACGGCAGCGCAATCGCATCAGCCTGGCTACCAGCATCTCATGACAACGACAGATTCTTTCCAGATTAGTGGTCCAAATAGAAACCATGAGTGCCTGGTGCTAGAGTTATTAGGACCAAACGTGGCCGATTACCTCGACGCGCATTCCATGGAAAGGCTTCCTGGGAAGCTTGCGAAAACCATTGCGAAAGAAGCTCTGCTTGGTTTGTGCTACCTTCACGAGCGAGGGATTGCGCATGCAGGTACGGTATAATGTCAATGTTCACGTCAACTCTGCTCATCGTCCTTAGATCTGCACACCCGCAACCTTACATTCACAATTCCTTCGCTACAAGCCTTGCGAGAAGAAGATTTCCTCCGGAATCTTGGACAACCCGAAACAGGCACTGTACAAAGAAGAGATGGCCAGCCAATAGGGCCGAACATGCCTCGATATCTCGTCAGACCTACTTCCTACCCTATAGATATCAAGTCATCCTCCAACTCGATTAAGATCATTGATTTTGGTCAATCTTTCTTACACGACGAGTGTCCTGGCGCCCTGCGTACTCCGCTTCCCGTTCGCGCCCCGGAGATTATCTTCAAAGATAAGGTGGATTATCGTGTGGATCTTTGGAGTATGGGCTGTTTGGTGAGTCTGACTTTTGCCATGGAAGCCCCAGAGCGTCTCGATGGATAGCTGACAAGGTAGCAAGCTTTTCGAGCTCATTGTCGGACAGCCGCCGTTTGACAGCTTCATGACAACGCCTGCAAGTCTTGTGCGTGAGATGCTTGAGACAGTCAGCGACGATTTGCCGGATCGATGGAAAATGGATTGGCATGTCATGGAAAAGACATTGGATGAGAGCGATCCCACTAGCTCACTTCAAGAATGGTTGGAGGAAATGTACTTTGATGGGGAGAGGCGCGAGGATATGAGCCGAGAAGACATTTTGCGAGTCGGCGCACTCATCGGAAGCATGCTACGAATGGAGCCGTCCGCGAGGGCATCAGCAAAGGATGTTGTCCAGGATGCTTGGTTCCAGGGATAATAAGATATCTCAGGCATTGATCTAGTAGCAGGTCGCTGTCATGGCCTGACTATGAATGTGTTTTGGTAAGGGCATCGTGCTGCACGCAACGGTTTCGGCGCGACCCAGCAACTGCAACCATCGGACGCGATAATGGGAGGAATGATGCAGCAATTCATCGTTCCCACATAACTGTATGTAGTGGTAGACAATTAACATAATCATTCTGAAGCCATCGGAGTTTGATCATAAAATTAGAGAAACAGAACATGATGATTGCGAGGCTATGAGTGATGTCATGACACGTGCTTAGTGTCTTCGTGCGCCTCGTTTTTGGATTAGCTTCAGGCGATCATCTCGGAGTTCTCGCCCCTGCGCCCCTCGACTACCTTTACCTCTTATTATATCAAAATCGGATCGGCTATCGCATAGTCCATCGCTCTTCAGATGGTTATCAGCTCCTCTACGCCTCATTTCTCGTCGCATGCGACATGTGTGGATACAAGGCCACGAGAACACGTCTTTATTGGGACTTTTCAGTCCCGAGTCCGCCGCACCAGCAGAGTCTGAAGACTTCACTTATCCCGTGTTATAGGCCGCACGAATCAATGAGAACCACAACCCAAGTTGCGACGGGTCCTAGAATTTGTTTGAAACCAACACCCGACAGCTGGCGGCCGATGTTGCGGCCGCAGCAATTAGGCTTGTTTGACCATCGTCAACGCAGTTGTCATACGAACAGGGAGCATTGACTGAGGCTATCACGTTGCGATACCCCTGTTAAAGCTCTCATACACTGCACTTTGAACAACGAGGTCACTTAACGTTGGGGTCTTGCAGTCAGGAAATCACACAAAGAACCACGCGGGCATCGTCTCGTCCCTCGGTCGTCAAGGAACGTCGATAACAAAAGCTTGAACGAAACACATCGCGCCATCAAGAATCCTACGCTTCATTGTTTTACATCATTTACAATGAACAAGGCCTCGCTTTATATCTCGGTGGTAACAAGCCCATTTCTTCAATCGAAGCTCAGCGTAAGGTATATCGAGAATACCTCTTGAGATGAGATACCGACATCGACCCATATACGCGCTTCGGATTCGGATGCCAGGGTAACAAAGAGGCCTCTTGTACTCTCAACCATAGTTGAGTAAATCCCCGTTCTGGTACTCACCACCCTGCTCATGCCTGCCACGACCACCATCGTCCTCGTAGTGTTCACGCTCGGGACGGCGGTCCTGGTCGTGGTCGTGATCGCGCCGCTCAGGATGCTGGTACGCGCCACCCTGTTCAGCTCTGTCACGGCCACGATCGTCCTCGTAGTTCTCACGCTCGGGGTTGCGGTTGTCGTCGTGATCGCGCGACGCATGGTTATGGATAACGTGAGGCTGATATCTTCCATCTTGCATCACGTTGTTCACTGGCATGAAGACAGGACGGTTGATATTGTCGCCGAGACGCGTGTCGGCAGGGCGGTCGTGGCCTTCTTGCTGATGATTGGGTGGATCAGGTTGCGCTGATCTACCAGGGTAACCTCGAGCATAGTCTCCGTTTCGGTCGGCTTGACGTTCACGAGGTAGTGGACTTCGCGACCGACTACGTTGCCGTCCAGGACCACGTGCGGGACGATCGCGAGGCCTACCGCCACCTGTGCCACGAGGACCAGTAGGGATCTGGGGGGATGAAGGTGCATCTTGGAAGGCAAACACTTCTCCTCCCGGCGCTGGGACGTACGGGGGAGGTGCTGGCATTCGGTACGCTGCAGGGAACAGCTTTGGCTTGATAGAGCCGGTTGGTTGCTGCCGCGGATAGTGGTTATTCTCCAAACCTCGCCGTACTGCACCCTCGTCGACTCCAGATGGGGTTGGAGGCATGTACTTAAGCTCGGCAAGCCCAACAAAAGCGGCATTGCGAACCCACTTAACCATATGAAGACTGTCGTCTGTGAGATATCCTGCGAATATGAAACCCTGAGTGGGTATGACTTCGTTGGCAACAAGTACATTGAAGTTGCAATGTGTCTTCAACTCCTGAACTGACCAGCCTTCATCTTCCTTTGGATGCATGAGGATATTGTCATGGGGGCTATGTTTCCTTGAAACATCTTCGGGCCAACCTCGACGGTCAAATGGAAGTAGTCGCATGAATTGCCAACGGTTCCCAGGGTGTATCTTGCCCAGATCATGGCCTTGAGAAGTCCGGCCCCAAGTAACTAGGACTACGTTGGGGAAGACTTTCTGGACTAAGCAAATCCTCCATCCTGAGAGAGCTTTGCCATGCGCAGTCAAACCACATTTGTCCCCCAAGACCTGTTTTGGGTCCACCGCGTACTCGGAAGTACGAAACCAAAAGAGCATGCCTTCCCAAAACACCTCGTCGAGACGTTGCCGGATGGGTTGTGGTACATGAGTGGATTGCTTAGACATGATCATCGTTGTCAAGCCATCATATTGTGGGAACAAGAGCCCGGCAAGGTCAGGCATTTCGAGACCAAGATTTCCGCGCTTTATGCAACCGCCATTGGAAGCCCACCAAGAAGCAAAGTCTTGAATGAGAGACAGCATCTGCCTCTGACCATGTGGTGTACTGAAGTCAACGATGAGGTTTGGCCTTTGTTGTGCGCTTCCATACGCTGCTAGGAACTGCATGACTTTGCTTGTCTTGAATGTATGCTCGGTATCCGCTCGTGGAATGGTAATAGGTGCATCAGTGGAGCTTAGGGGTGACTCCCGCACGACGACATCTTGGTATGATTGACCCTCACGACTACTACCACTAGGGCTGAGCTCGACTGGAGAGGGGTGTTCAGACGGTGGGCGAACGGTAGTCGCATGCACGTTTCCTCGGATATTGGCAATCGGCTCCCGCGCTTCATGAGACCCTGCGATCTGGTGTTGAGGAATGGCGGCTGGGCTATGTTCTCCCTGGCAAAACTGTGAAGGAGCTACGTTGGTATCCGGACGAGACTGCGGCTCGGGTGGCGCGCGACTGGTTGTTTGCCTGCCATGAGGTCGTGTAGGTTGCTCTCGAGAAACAACAGCAGGCTCGCGCTCTTCTTGAGGAAACTCTGAAGGTGTATGATACCCGTCTTGGCTATCAACACTCGCTTCGCGTGCTTCCCGTTGTGGTCGCGGAGAAGGGGCGTGAATCGGCTGCGGAACGCGCTCGATGTTTTGTTCAGGTTGCGGGGGAGGGCTGGCCGGGCTCAGTGTCGAGCTTTCCGCCTCGGTGACTACGGCCTCCTCGAGTTCGATTGTCGCGAATTTCTCATCGTCGCGTTGCTCAAAGACCCTGGAGCGTGCCCCTCGCGATGCCTGTGGGCTATCCTTGTCTGTTTTAATTAGTAAAGTGCTGAAATATGTAGAGACATGAAGCCTTACCTTGTTGACGGTGACGATCCGCCATGTTCAGCGGACTTGAAACGTGTAACCGGCTTGTGTATATGCAATGTTCGAAGGGGTTGTGATAGTTTGGTTGAGAGCTTGGTTGTCTAGAAAGGTCTTTCCGAGAAGGAATAGTGAAATGCGGAGTTGATGTAGTAGATTGCGGTGCACTGACTCTCAATGGGTACATCAGCAGGGCGAGCTCTGTGTTCCGATGAAGACCCAATTCATTGTAGTCAGCGCGTTTCTGACGTAGTGCACAATTGGCAGAACCCGATCCGCGCAACGCGTCAGTGAATGCTGCATGATCGTCGTGTAATTGTGTCTGCCACTGCCGCTTAGATGGAACAGATCGAATTGACATCCGCATTTGATACGCTTAGTGGGTTTCGATGGCTTTGAATTTATCTAAGTCTCGCTTCTGAGCTTCAAATGGTAGCTAGATCGTGGTGTATCAGGTCCTCTCGAAAAGGGAAGCAACGTCAACACAAGAGCGGGTGGTAGCCAATCAGATTGCGCAGTCATACATGCAGAGCGTTCTACTTGAACCTTCTGATCATTGCGTGGCTGGCCGGACTAAAAAACCCTTTGTTTTAAAATCACAAAGCGGCGTCGTGGTCAAAGAAACTTGCTAGCTTTGTCGTTGTACTTAAAAGTCCGGAAGCTTCGCGCATCTTGTCGAGTTCACGTTCACCTCCCAAGAAAAATAGAGTCATGTACGACAACGCAGAATTAGAGACGACACACTCGGAACAAGCATGTCGGAATTGGATTCATTCGACGGCACATATCTCGACATCGAACAGTGCGCGTCCGCGACTTAAGAGAGTACGAGACGGTAGGCGCGAAACTTGGGCATTAGTTCTAACAGGAGAGCTCGAGGGAAAGATTGAGACGGCTCTTGCGTTGGGACGTAGTTATATCCAGGGAGTTAAGAACGTCAAGAAATGGAAGCACGAACTGCTCTTGGAGCAAGCTGACAACACTGGATCTTTGGAGGCGATCACGCATCGCTTGAACGTCAAGCGATCAGAGATACAGCCGAACAAAGAGCCAACTATGTTACAAAAGAAGACATTGGCGAACTTGGCCCAAGGTGTCGAACGACTCAAAGCCAATCAGAATCTCTGGAACGAAAGGATAGCTACTTGGGATAGAAATGTTGCGCGCGGCTTGGATAGGTGGCGAAAGGCTTGGACTGAGGTCGACAAGATTCTAGCCAAAGTATGGACAGATGCAGGGCGGTTAGTGGCGGACGATGATTCGGATGCGGACAACGAAAGGCCGCCTAGAGCGACTGAGTCAAAGAACGAAGTCGGACGAAACGGAGGCCGGGCGACTATACCTGGCGAAGAAGTGCCGTTAGCTGCACCGGAGGCAGAGCCCGCTCGACAAAGGCAGGCAGGAAGGCGAAGAAGCGATATCTCGGAATGGCAAAACAGTGTCCAAGCCCAAAGCCCCACGGAACTCGACAAGGGGAAAGGTGTAAATACTCATCACAGGCATCCCACAGGACGACCCTATAACAATGGGGATTTTCAAACATCTCCGAGCTCGTCCCAACACTCTAATGAGTATCCGCGAAGACCGTATCGGGCATATTCGTCGCGCCCGCCGCCGCCGCCACCGCCGCCG